GCCACAGGCTCCATCAGCCTCACAACAGTGCGTGGGGTGATGTCTTCAACCCCTGCGATGCACATAATTGCCTCAGCCTTGACACTGTTGCCAGGTGCAGTGCCACAGATAGTTTTGACGTTGGGTCCAATTTCAGCACTGACACTGCCTCGTGTCTTCCGCGCTGACCTTGGTACTATCAGCGACACCAGCACTGATACCGGCTATGAATCCACTACCGGTGCAGACACCGATATCAGCCACAGCACTGCTGCTGCTATCAGCACCACCAGCATCATCTTCAGTGCTGTTAGTGTGTGCTAGAGCGAGAATTCAATTGCCTATCTCAACAGGCACTATACAACATGAGCTCCAGCCACTGGGGTACCACCACCACTACCTCCTCTTCTGATGCAGCACTCAAGGGTTCAACTCCAGCCCCAGCTTTAGAGGACTAAAAAGCCCTTCAACAGCTTCTTAGAAGGGTGGCCCAGTGTCTCAACATACAAGTACAGGAGGTGGTAGAGGATGTTGACCAGTAGTAGACATCCTGTCTTCCTCTACTTCTGGCCACATTGCCTTGACTTTCATTAGGTGCATTTTGGACATCACTAAGTCATTATGGCATATCCCAGCCTCCTTGTCTCCTAATCCCAAGTGTAATGAGAGGTGTTATTTTGTTCCATTGAGAGAATATGAGCATCTCTGTTTTCATCCTCCCCCAGATTCCTTACTGGTGAATGCAGCCAACGACTAGTAATGCCCCTCCCCAAAGAACAGGGAAGCAAAATGCTTGAACCTATGTGGCAGGAAGGTCTATTGTACGGTGGGGCAGGATGGCTGTCTTCAACTCTGTATTGCTAACCATTAAGGGCTGGTTAGAAAATGGAGGTTAAATACCTGCAGTACCCTACCAAAATGTATGGAGCTACTCACCTAAGACTCCCGTGCCAAATTTTCAGCAACCCTAGAGGAAGGAAGGCAGGCTGCTTTAGATGTGGCAAATGCAGCTACAAAGGTCATGGCCACTGTCATCGCCATGAGAAGGGGTGCTTGGCTGCAAGTCTCAAGTCTGCCGTAGCAGACAATCTCAGCTGCTCCTTTCAACCTCACGAATCCTCCCTTAATCCAGAAATGATTTATTCAATTTTCCAGAAGTGGGGACTTACTCAGATAGACCTCTTCGCAGTGCATCACAACAGAAAGTGTTGCCAGTTCTGTTTATTCCAGAATCTCTTATGTCCTGGCTCCTGTGGGGATGTTTTTCTCCGTCACTGGGGACACCAGCTCCTGTACTCCTTCCCATCCATTCCACTGATTCACAGAATACTGCTAAAAATCAGGGAGGACCATAGCCCTGGTTTGGACTCATCAGCATTGGTATACTGCTCTATTGGAGGCTCTGATCTTTCCTTCTAATATTCATGGACCTTCACACAGGACCATGGCATTCTACTCCACCTGAACCTCATGTCCCTCTACCTCACTACATGGAAACTCCATCGTTACATCCCCTGGCACTGTCCTGTTCAGAACAGGTTAGACATCCTCCTGGGCCACAGGAAACCCCTCCACTAGGTTTACCTATGCTGCATAATTAGAAGAAATTTTCAGTCTGGTCGAGTCAACATAATTTCTCTCTGATGCATGCTCCCATGCCCTTCATTTTGGATTGTCTTTGCCATCTTAAATAACAGGAGCTGTCAATCCCTTCTATCAAAGTGCATTTAGCTGCCATATCAGCTTTTCATCTGGAGTCTCAAGGTTCCTCACTATTCATGATCTCACTTTAGCTGCCTAGACAAATTTAAAGGGTCTAGACACATTTTATCTTCAAGTTTGAAAACCGGTTCCTCCCTGGGACCTTAACTTAGTTCTGCCCAAACTTATGGGTCCTCCATTTTAACCACTCACCACTTGTTCACTGCTTTTCCTGTCTCCAGGTAGCATTCTTCATAGCTATTAACTTTTGCCTGAAGGGTATCTGAGCTTAGAGCTCTCACCTCAGAACCCCCAATGCTGTTTTTTTTATAAGGACAAGGTACACTTCTGACCTCATCTGGCATTCCTACCAAAAGTGGGCTCCCCATTCCACATAAAACAGGACATTTTTCCTCCCAGTGTTTTACCTAAACCTCATGCAAATCACTGTAAGCAAAAACTGCACTCTCTGGACATGCATAGAGTGCTAGCTTTGTATATTAACAGAATTAAACCCTTTAGGTAGTCCTCTTAATTATTCATAGTGGCGGCCAAAAGAATGAAAGGTCAACCCGTGTCATCCCAGCGCATTTCATTGTGGATAGTAGCCTGCATTAAAGAGTGTTATAACCTAGTGGGCCTACCTCTGCCACCACTTTCAGCACACTCTACCGGCGCATATGCATCATTAGTGACTTTACTGGCTCCTATTCCCACTCAAGAAATTTGCAAAGCTGCGATATGGTCCTCTATCCATACTCTTGCAGCCCATTATGCAGTCACCCAGAAATCCAGGGATGATGCAGCCTTTGGAAGAGCAGTCATTCCAAGGTTTCAACCGTACCTCCTGAATCTTGGCTTGGGAGTCATCTGGTTTGGACTGCACATGAGCAAACATTCAAAGAAAAAAGGGTTACTTACCTTCTTGTAACTGTTCTTTGAAATGTAGTGTTCATGCCTATTCCAAAATCCTCCCTCTTACTCTTCTGTTGGAGCAACCTGCAAGAAAGTATTGAAGAGGTGTGGGACTCGGCAGGGTGCTATATTGCTCTCCATGGAGTCACAATTCCAGGGGATGCCCAGACAGACAGCTGTTAGGGGGAAATCTTCTGGCTGATGTGCACATGAGCACAAAAACACTTTCATTTGGAATGAACATTACAACACATCTTGAAGAACAACAGTTACAAGAAGGTAAGGGTTTGGAGAGTTTGGGTTTTTGTTTTTAGAATCAAACTGAGGCACCAATGCCGCATCCGAAAAGTATAGTCTTTTATGTAAATATTCAAGTTCTAATCTCTCAGATGCTATTGCACACAAATAACTTGTGTATATGTGAGCAGTCTCATTCATGCCTATGGAAATCTTGAGGTGTATTAATGTTTGCAGAATTGGGGCCTTTAAGATCCAGTTTACTGCTAATAAAAGCAATCCTTCCTATTGCAAAGATTTCATGCAAGATTCTAAATTGGATTACATGAAATATGCAAGTCCTGGTGAGTGCCTTATGTGGGCTGTCTGAACTGGGGACAATTTTACCATTTATAACTTGCATTTCTTCTGTAGTTATGCAGCTATAAATTGGACCATTTATTGCATTAGTTTTCACAAAATTAGTTACAAAACTAGTGCAGTAGAATCTTAATTTTAGTGGTTAGCAAATTATAACTGCTTGTGTTGAAATATATAAATGCTCATCTGCTATTTAATCTGATTTCTGAAGATATTGGAAATGTTACTTGAAATTAGAAAACTGTTGAGTTTCCGAATGTTACAAAGAATATTCTTTACCCTATGATTTGATTCATGTAACAAATGTTAATTGTGATATATAGTAGCAGATGTCTGGAGAGATCTTTTATTCGATCATGGGTAAATCACTTTCTGGCATCAGTTAAATAACAGTCTTTGAGTAATTTAGCAAACCCTTCTCTCGATTCATCTTTAGTATTATTTCCTTTACATCCAAACACAGTAACATCTTTTCATTTCTGCCAGGCTTGTCCTTTATTTTCTGTGTAATGTTTAATTTCTCATTCTTCTGTATAATTATGGTTTCAGAATAGTTAAGAGATGATGTTTTAAAACTTGCATATTTGAAGTTAAGTCCATTTGCATTATACAAGTATTTATTATGAGTATTATAGACAGGCAAAGAAGTAATTCAGTTTGTATGCTTCTATCAAAACTCCATTCAAGCAAAAATAATTTTTGCTTCAAAATATATCTGGAATTTAAAAATAACTCTCCATTCTAATGCCAATACAAATTGTGGCTACTTAGGAAAGAGGCTACTATTTTGGGCAATTTAAAACATGTAGCATATCATTTAATATCATGTGAAATGTTAAATATTTATATTTGCAAGTTTTTACTTTGTATTTCATAATGGCTATAATGTTGGTATCCCTGTAAATCTGTGTGCAAAGCATGAGTTATATTTTTCCTGCCACAGTGATAGGATTAAAATAGTAACTTGCAGTTGTTTTCAGTTTTTCCAAAGGTATGTTGAGAAGATATGTATTTTAAATTAATACTTGTAATGATGCTAAAAATGATGCAGATAAACACAATCACACTATTATAGCAGCTCACAGGCAGTCTCCACTAATGTTCTGATCTATGAAAAATTGAGTTTTATGAAGAACTCCTGGTTCTTAGTGTGTACTGCTCTACAGAGCCTCTGTTTAACATGGCACCTCTAATATTGATATATCTGCCCATGCAACACCAGTATTATGTATTGACTCTAACAGGACTTGATTTTTGGATCAGAGGAGGACCACTGGCATCTAAGGGCTTGTCTGCACACCCCCATAGTTTGGCCTACAGGGGTGTGAACTGCACCATGCACAAGTGTGCTTGTGACTGTGCTAACGTGAACTATATAACTTTTACGTTGTGTTCACTGGATCAAGATGGGCAGTTACAGCACACGGCCTTGCATCACATCCTCACCTGCTAATACAGAGAAAGTGAAGTTTTCCTTTTACTTCCTTCCTTCCTTGTCCTATGTCCATGTTCTTACAAATTGAATCCCCTCTCTATCATCCCATCTCCCCCCAGCTGGGAGCCCATAATATAATTTAAAATATAAAAATGGAACTAAAAATGTAGGTCTTTCCATTTTCTCTATATGCTGTATCCCTTCTCTTGTGTACATTTATTTTGACTTTTGCATTATAAGTTCTTAGGGGCAATGGCTGCATTTTTCTTTGCTTTTGGAAAGTACCTATCAATTTTTGAATGCTACTGAAATGTAATTATCATGACAGGAATTGAATTCAAGTGTTGCTTTCTTTCATTTCTTCCTTTGCTAGATCCAGTCCAAAATGTGGTGCAGATGTTAGAGAAGCAGTACTTGGAAGAGAAGCAGAGTGCTCTTGAGGAGCAAAGGATGATGTATGAGCGTGAGCTTGAGCAGCTCCGGCAGAAGCTTTCCCCAGAAAGGCAGCATCAGCATGGCAGCGATAGGCTTTCATATACAGCTCAGACTGCCCAGCAAAAAGTAAACCTCTGGACAGAAGAGAGGTGAGAATATTGGAGATAAGAACCAAAATGAATGAGAAATACGAAGGAGAGGGCTGTGGGATAGAAGGACAAGGTGATCCCTCTTTCTGGAAACAACATTTTGGCTCATTGTTAAACTGCAGTATCAGACCTTTCTTCAACCTAGTAAAATCCCATTTTTATTTCACTTAGAGCTAGATCCTGACCTCTACTGCAACGTGGGGCTTCCTCGTCATTTGATTTGGTATTTCTCATGCACTTTTGAGAGCAGAATTTCACTCTGTGTGATGTGATTTTTTTTTCTCCCCATGAACTCTTCATAGATGCTATGCATGTGTTAAATTGATACAGTTTTAACACTCCCTGCATGTGTTGCTAACAGATTACTTGGAGAAGGGAAGCTAAAGGAATATATAAGATCAAGCTTTGTCAAATATTACTGTGCTATCACTGTACCCAGCACTGTGAAAACACAATTCATGCCCCACAAGTAACAGACAACATTCAGAAACATAGGGCATGTAAAAAAAATTAAAGGTTGTGCATATTTTATTTTTAAAAGTAAACCTGCTTTTAGAACACTTGAAGGGCCTCTCACAAAATGTGCATTTTGAGAATGACGGAATGATTTTGGCTAGAGCCAGGTTTCAGTGTGCAAGGGAAACATGGGAGTTCCAATTATAAGTGATGGAAAAATGGGAAGAAAACATGGGTGAAAAATTCACAAGTGACTTTTGGGAAGGACGTCTGGAAGAAGAGCTTAAGAAGAGAAAGGAGTAGAAGGAAATGAACTGAGCTTAGGAGGGGTAGGCATGTATATTAAAGATGGCAGAAGCTTGTTCTTGATGTAGAAGGTAAGAGGAAGCTGTTGGACTCAGAGAGGGTAATTATATGGTTAGCAGAGGGAGCAGAATAAGATAGGAGCAGCAGCAGCATTTTGTTGTAAACAAAGTAATGTTCTGTTCTTGGTTCTATGATTCATCCAACAGAAAGAGTGACTAACTGGAGGATTCGTTTTTTTCCAACTCTGTTTTCTATGAATGTTTATTTGCATTGTACAACAAAGACTTCATTGTTCACTCATCTCTCTTTTTTATACATGGTGATTTTGAATGCTTTCTGTCTTGGTATATTTCCATGTTCTCCATGAAAAGTCAATGTAAAACAAAAGTCTAAACAGAGTAAGCCAAAATTGTCCTGACTCATTCAGACCCAGAATGTAGAAAACAGAAAATAGAATCAAGATCTGTAAAACCATGCGTATGTGTTAGTTTTTGTGCAAGCTTTGCTTTCAGCATTTACAAATTCTGCCAAATTGGGCTTGAAAAAAATCTGCTTGTTTATTCACTAGTGATGACTAAAATGATTTCACAGGCAAGTAGGGGAAAACTGTAGTATTTGAGTTTTAAATACAAATTGTGTCTAAATCTTAGAGATGTAAACAGAACCATACTAATGTGACCAGAGAGCAAATGATGCAGTCCCGTCTTCTGGAGTATGCAGACCTCAAGTACTTTTATAGCTTCTTGCAGTTTTGCCAAATAGAATATTGAAATGAATAGGCCTCTGGTTGGATTCATTGCTGCTTTTTACAACTGCTTTGTGAGCAGCAGTTAAGTTCTCAAAAATCCCATTATTGGTTCAGGACCTCTGTTGGGAAAGGCTGTGAACAGCAGCATAGGTAAGAACTGGAATCACTCACAAGGAAAGGCCACTCACAAGACAGGTGAGAGTGAGGGATATAATAGTAGAGACAATTCTCCCCACCCTCCTTTTCCCCTCATAAAATGGACTGGAGCAGGAGAATTGACAGAAAACTAGAATGGATGATGATATCCTCTATCTTCAGGCTGATATGGAAAGATGTATCTCCCAAACAAGAAATGGGGTGGGCATGCCAGCACTCACCTTCTGTACAGAAACTCTTAGGGGAGCTAGGGAGGAATGGACCTTCAGACAAGAACGTAGTCTCTGGATTTCACTGGTGAGTATCCCACCCTCATGATTGAGGTCTCTAGCCTAGCAATATAAGAACGCCACCTCTATCCATGGCTGCCATGCGTCTGATAATATTTTTAAGTCTTATCAAATTATTTTAATGAGTAAAAAGTATCCTGAAGAAATAGTGAACACTTCCAGTCTTGCAGAATATTTTTTTAACTTAATTTTTTCAGCTTTAAAGAAGGCTTCTGAAGGAGTAGGGAGAAATGATCCATGTACTGAAAAGAAAAAAAACCAAGAGATGTCAGAGGGGAATGTTTAGTGCTAGGCAGTAAAGACTGGGTAGCATTTTGAGGGGGAAGAGTGTCTCTACTAACCACCATGAGGGAAAGTATGGAAATATACTTCATATTCTAGGACACTATACCAGCTGTTTAGTTTGAAGGGTCATGTCTAGCAGACCATAGTGACTGGACTTTCAATCAATCTGACCTTTCAGGTGCCACTATAGTTAAGGGTTAGCTGCTGTTTGTTTTAAAACCAATGCCTTCAAGACTCATTTCTAGATGGATATTTGCTTTGGTTTGTATCAAAATGGAACTTGGCATATATCCTTTGTGTAATAAAAATACAAAAATCCCACCTAAAACTTACTTTGTTCCCTTCAGTTTCCGTGGTGTTCTGTGTTCTGGTGGTTCTGTTTGTGGAGCCCGAAGTGCATTTACACAACCACACAAGAAAACCAGAATTAAAATACACAAAAAATAATGAAAACTCCCACTTATTCATACCTGACTCAGGTAACAGCCCCATGTAGCTATGCTATGTTCATCACCCATCCTTTCCCCAAAAGCCTGAGGAAAAGAGATTGTCTTTATAACATTCTCAGAAAGTTGTTAAATTCAACCTCTATTTGGACCAAGAAAGGGAGCCAAGGACTTGTACTGGAAAGTGTCTTGTTGTCCCCCTCTATCACTTTTTAAATTAGGAACCTGTTAGCTTGAGTACCTCTGCTGATCTCGCATGTGGAAGCATCGCACAGGCAGAAAAGAGTGTGTATTTTATATAGCTGCTCCTACATTGAGAGCATCTATATATCAAAACCATGTGGAGGCAAGCTGTATGACAGAGCACTCATGTCATGTGCTCTCAGCACACAGTATTGCTTAGTGCCATGGTGTCCAACCAGTTCTGAAGCGAACTAGCCACTCTCAACCGGCCAAATAGCCACATTGTTGAAGTCAAATAGCCGCACTTAAGTGGCCTAATAGCCACATGTTGCTAGTGGCTAGTGTGTTGGACACCATGGGCTTAGTGAATAATTAGCTGCTCTAGCTTCAGCTTCCACAGATCCCACAATGCATCTCTTGGTAGAATGTATTATTGTCATCTAATCTCAAATAGCTGATGGCTTGGATAACAGTAGTAATATCATATCCCCAACTCATAACTCCTGTCATCTGAAGAAGTGGGCTGTGCCCACGAAAGCTCATGATACCATCTACATGTTTCATTAGTCTATAAAGTGCTACCAGACCATTTGTTGTTTTCTTCAGTAGTAAGAGGGATAAGGAAAGGAGTTTCCCTCTTTGCCTTAAAGCAAGTGACAGTTGTGATAGCCAAAGGAAGCAGTCTTGGACACAGTTGCTGCCTGCGTATCTGGCATATAAGAAAGCCCCACTTGAATTGCAGACCTTAGTCCAGTGATGGGTAACCTAGGCTAGTGAGTGGACTACATGGGTGGCCCTCCTTCATCTCAGTGGGCTTCAAGATTGTTGTAATCATGATGGTCTCCTGGAATAGGGGCGAGGAGTCCTGGGGCACCTTATAGACTAACGGAAGTGTAGGAGCATAAGCTTTCGTGGGCAAAGACCCACTTCGTCAGATGCATGTAGTGGAAATTTCCAGAGGCAGGTATAAATATGCAGGCCAGGATCAGGCTGAAGATGACGAGGTGGATCCAATCAAGGAGGATGAGGCCCACTTCTAGCAGCTGATCTGCAGATTCAGACTAACATGGCTACCCCTCTGATCCTGGAATAGGGTAGTTTTGCTATCTGTGCTTGCATACCAAGAATTTGCGGGGTGTCAATTGAACTGTAGGAGCACTTTGATTGGATGCAGTGGGAGCGCACAGCTCTCATATTGACTGGGGTATGCAATCAGCATACACCTCACTTCATGATTTCTTGCTTTACATGTACCTCAGTTTAATAATACTGGTAGAAAAAACCTATAAGAATGAAAACGAGTGGAATCTGGCAGCCCTGTGAGTAGGAACAGTATACAAAATGTCTTACAGGTCATACATAGAACCACGATGGGCCACGCACAGGCCACAGGCTGCCCACCAGTGCCTTAGCTAGATAGGAAATAATCACTAAGCTGGATACTTTAGAATACTAAAGACACAACAAAGCAGACATTCTTGCTAATCCTACCAATGGTCTTATCCCTTTCTGTTCAAAATGCACATAACTTAGTGTTACCTTGCATGAGAGAGAGCCCAGTACTACTGTCTGGAATGCCTCTCAAAGAAAAGTGTAGCCACTCAAGCAGTTCCTGCTAGAGACTACAGGCATACCAATAATATGGTATGGTCTGTACTTATTTAAGTCATACGACAGCTCTTAAAGGGAGGTCCAATCTGTACCGTCTGCAGGTTGTTGCCACCAGTTTTCAGATTAGATTTGTACAAACTGGTCTGGGAACTTTTTTAGAATTCATGCAACAGGTGTTAACCTGCACATAATACTTCAGTTTTTAATTTGTGCAATTTTTTTAAATAATAAGATGTATTTGATATGAAAAACACGGGCTGTGTTATATTACAGATGGCTAGCACAGAATAGCAAGGATTGCTACAGAATAGCAAGGCCACCCAGCTAGCCACAACTTTTTAATGAGGTGTAAATGAAGAAGTTGTATAGATGTCAGCATTTAGTTTGTATATAGATGAAACATCACAAGTTTGGGCTGGTTGTCGATGTGAGCCACACCTCCAGAAAGACACATACAGTGCATGTCATTGCTTCACAATTAGGAGCAGCCTAGTGAATATAGCAGTTCCTCTGGTACCAATGAGACTTCTAGTTGGGAAATTTTGGGTGTTATTGCTCTAGACTTTCCTCCATAGCTTTGTTTATTTGTAACCAGAAGATTTACCTGGCATTGCTCAGGTCCCTAATTTTTTTTTTTAATAAAAAAAAAAAAATGTACATGCTTCATTTAAATCATTGTTCTGGGGTGGGTTTGGAAAGAAGGGGCTCTATGTTCAGGGTACCCCAGGGAGAGAGGACTATCCCAGCTCTGTCTCATCACAGCAGCTTTGGACCAGGTGAGAATCCCATCTACATGGCTGCTGCAACTCCAGCGGGCACAACTGGGGGTGGGGTGCTAGTCCCCTGGCTGGGGCAAGTCCAGGTTTGTCTGCCCCTTGTGATCACAGCCAGTGTGAGGAATGCAGCAAACTGTGCACTTCCCCCTCGCTCCCTGACAAGGGGGAACAGACAGCAATGTTCCTATACAAATCTGGGGGAAAAGGGAGCTTTATTATCCCAAAAGGGCATCTGAGGTGGGGGAGGCTTGGGGTTGGGGCAGTCCCGGATTCGGGGACACCCCCAGCCAGCCCTTTTCACCTGCGTAGTGATTCTCTTTTCTGTGTAATTTTTATGAGAAGCAATCCCATTCCAGACACATCCTATTCTCCTGGCACAAATGATCCCTTACCTTGCTTTAAGTTATGATAAGAGGAATCTGTATACCAAATTTGCTGGTCCTAGCTCTTACAGTTTAGGAGTTCTTCGACAGACACAAAAACTCTCTCAAATTTGCTAAGATTTTTCTCAAAAAATTATGTAGAAGACACACTTATTGTTAATACAGCATTTCTTCCACAGTTTGTTTCATAAAAAAAAAGATGCAGTTAACCTTTTTGATCGTGATCTTCTATTTTTCATGATACCTCTACAGGGATGAATTGTTCCGGCAGAGCCTGGCTAAACTTCGAGAGCAAATAGTAAAAGCAAATACACTGGTGAGAGAAGCAAACTTCTTAGCGGAAGAAATGAACAAGCTAACTGATTATCAGGTGACACTTCAGATCCCTGCTGCAAACCTCAGTGCCAACAGAAAGGTAAAAAAAAGCTAAGAAAGATGGAACTATTTTATTGTCCTGGTCATTCAGGAAGAAAGACAAGATGCAGCTGTACAGTGCAGGACATCATTCTTTCGTTAATAATTTCCATTTATCTGGGAGTTCTGCTGTCAGCCCTCATCTTTCCCAGTCCAGTCCTAGGTAGCCTGTTGTTTGGGACCCTAACACTCTCATCTTCAGTGAGAGTTAAGGAGGACTGGAAAATGGGGAGTGAATTGTCTCCCATCTAATACAGATTAGGCTCCCCTTGTTCAGTTTTTTTAAGGGGATTCTTCCTCCTAAATCTACTTCAGCTTCTGTTTTAGTGAACTGCTTTCCCTCTGTACCTACACTGGGCACTTGCTAGCTACTGAGTTTTAACATCTTCACCTAGCATCCTTCCCTACCTTACCTATTGTGGGAAGGTAAAAAATCCACTGCGCCTCAACAAACCTGGGGATGAGGAGAAAACTATCCCAAACCTTCTCTCCCTTCCCCCCTCCCCCAAAAAAACACCCCACAACTAGAACTATCCCAAACCTTCTCTCCCTTCCCCCCCCAAAAAACACCCCACAACTACTGCAAGCCCACAGGCTCATAAAAACCTGGTCCTACTACAAGATTGTGGGAGGTAGCATGGATACCACCGATTGGTGATTTGAGTCAGAGATCTTTCTGCAGTGCATAAGTACATGAACCTATTCCTCCTGTCTATGTGGTGAGTCAGTGTCTCTGCCAGCTCTAGCCACTTCCTGGTCCCCTCAGCTTGACTCTGCTAGGTCCATGATAACTCAGATGCAGTTGGGACCTATAAAGGAGTACTGTCTTCCTTTTCTTTCATGCTGCCTTGGCAGTCTCAATTACAGTGAGCACATTTCGATTTTAAATAGAAGATAGTATATCTAAGTCTAAATCCTATTCGTTAAAGTTTATAGTAGGTGGAATGTGGATGTTTCCTGCCAAATATGTGGAGAGCAAATAATTTTTAAAATGAGAGCAACATTATCACTCCGATAACTTTGTTTTACAAATATCTTTCCATACATGCATTCACATCATGGGAGCTAATGGTGCTTGCTGTGCAACCTAAACAGAGTTCTTTGTTTTTTAAACTCAAGTGGGGGAAGATTTACAAAACCTTTTTTTCAAGCCTGTTTTATATTGTTTTTACAGAACTTAAAATAACCTGTTAATTCTTTTCAGAGGCTTATTGACATATGAGATGTATAGTAAAATCTATTACTGTCAGTTAGGATATAACTATCTACTATCATTTCGATTTGTGTGAGATTATTCTCATTTAACATTCCTTTGTAAAATATAAGTTATTTGAGAGAGACAAAGGGAAATAACCACTGGATCTTCAGAGCAGCACATGCTGAGTTGGAATGCAGAGATGGGGTGTTGGGAATACAAGAGAGAGCCATGTACTTTATATTTTAGTACTCTTTGATAATATAATTTGAGTGGGGGGTTAAAATATTTCACTATGAATTTTTGAGCAGTCAATAATTATTCTTCTCTGACTCAGAGGGGGGCAATAGTAAGTGAGCCAGCTATTCAAGTAAGAAGAAAAGGAAAAGGTACTCAGGTGTGGACTATTGAGAAACTGGAGAACAAATTGATTGACATGAGAGACCTATATCAAGAATGGAAAGAGAAAGTTCCTGAGGTATTTAAACATTTTTAAAATGTCCATATAGTTGTCTTTACGGTTCAGTACAAACAGTGTAAATATATATACATAAACTAGCATGCACAAACTCTGTACTTTTGAAGAGGAATTTTCTGCATGAGTTGTTGATGGATTTGTGAACAATGCTGAAATGCAGAATGTACATTACAGTGCAGAATAAAAAAAACCCTCATTCTGCTCTCATATACGCACTTTACTCCCTTGTTGACGTAATTGCAATTAACATGACACCAGTGGAATTAGCGCAAGTATTCAAGAGCAGAATTTTCTATTGTACATTTTTTGTACCTGTTAACTTCAAAACCCTCAGCAGAGTAGGTATTTGCTGAGAATCAAAATATCATGCCTAAATGTAATGATATTAGTCCTTGCATCATTTTATTTTATAAGAGAATGAAATAGGGTTTAGTTGTTCAAGAATGTGTCTTTAAATTGCTCGGTAGGACTGCAGTAACAAGCATGCCATGATATGGGGAACACAAATTATCCTGCAGTTTACATGGAGCATTATTGTCACAACAGTTTGAGCTGTCATGTGGTTTCTGTGTGCATTATTGCCTCTTTGCATAGGACAATAAGAATCAGTCTTCCAGATCTTGTTTGTATTGTGAGTCTGATCCTGCACACATTGAAGTCATTGGAACATTGATTTCAATGAGCACAGGAGTGCTAATAAGTGCATCCCTGAGTATTAAAAGTGCATCTCTTGGTCATACAAGTCTGTTCTGTTGGGAATGAATCATCTTTCCTGGAAGTATCTAGTGCTCGATATGCTGTAACAGTACTACTGTGTTCAAATGTTTGTATTTGGAGAGGTATGGGAAGAGGCAGACGAAAAGGAGGAGCAGAATGCAAAGTGCTCATGCATCCACAGAGAAGTATATACTTCCATGGGAATTCCTAGCAAAATACTTTGAGGCAAAGCCAGATGATCTGTTGCTATGCATTGGGTGTTTGTATTTTTAAAACAGTGGAAATTATTTCAGCCATGTAGCATTAAGGGATCAGCTCCAGGCCTGTGGGGGAGGTTATTTCTTGAGTCCTCCTCTGTTCCTTGCAGTGTTTCCCAGCACACTGCCAATATATCTAGCTGGGTATTAGGAAAAGTATTTGGTTCTTTCTTTTTGAAAACTAGTTTCAGATGGAATATCAAGAAGTGCAACTCAATGAAGTTTCTAGAGTTGCACACATAAAACATGGTTTGAATTTTACAAAATATGGGACATATATTATTATTTGTATGAGTGAAACTAAAGGCATTACATGATCCCCATCACAAAGATCTTATTTTAATATTGTGATGAGCTTCAGATCTAAATTTAGATGTGATATAATGACTTAGAGAGAAATGTCAGTGGAATGGTGTGACCAAGTGTTAAGGTCACAGAATAAAGAATGTGTATATTCAGTTTTGATTTGTGCATGTTTTTATGATTCCACTAAGTTTACAATTTTTAAAAAGTAATTCATGTACCCTTTTTTTTAAAAAAACAAAACAGATAAGGAAGCTCATTGGTAAAAAAGGTGACCCTTTCTATGAAGCACAAGAGAACCATATCTTAATTGGAGTAGCAAATGTCTTTTTGGAGTGCCTTTTCTATGATGTTAAACTTCAGTATGCGGTGCCCATCATCAGCCAGCAGGGGGAGGTGAGGCTAAATAGTCTTAATGTATTGGTAAAGTATAATGTATTGCAAGTGAAGAGAGAGAGGGAAATTAGTCCTGGGTTTGTAATCCATTTTACGTATAGAATTTTGATTAACCTAAATGCTGATTTTTTTTTTATAATTTTTTTTGTACCTTTAAATATACCATTGGGGGGAAAACTGTTCGTATTATGACTAAGAAAATTTGTTTGACTAAAAACATGAACTACATTTTGTGATGGCAATATGGCAGACAAGTAGGAATTAGGTTAGAGATTAAGGCCTCTCGGCATTATTCCCTGTTTTCTTTAACCTCAACTAAAGTTCAACTACAGATCTACTGCAGTAATGACCCTATGTGCTTTTACCATTGCATGTGAAGTGAAAAGTTAAATAGTGGCACAAATGTACCATGCATTCATTTCATCCATATTCTCTCCTTTTTATTTTTCTCTGTGGTATTATTCCTCTTCTATTCCATGTTTAAGGTACAGTGACATTTGAATTGCATTGCTTGTTTCCTGCTCCCTTTCTCTCCCCTTGGAAGTTGGATATTTTATATAATGTTCTTGTGTTCCTAAAGCATAAGCACTTAGTATTTGTGCTTCAGGTTGCAGGACGACTGCATGTTGAAGTGATGCGAGTTACTGGTGTTGTTCCAGAATGTGTAGCAGAAGGGGATGACTCTTCTGAGAACTCCAGTGAGAGCGGAAGCCTGGAAATCATGGACAGTAATGGAGAAATTATTCACAGAGCAAAAAAGCTCACCTGTAGGGTAAGTAGGAGACAATCTGTTGTTGAAAATTTACAAACACATATATTGTTATAATCCAATATAAATATTAAATTATGAAGGACTTGGTTGTTTAGGATGTTATTAATAGAAAGACATTATATTTTCTCGCCCTGTGTAGTATGTGTAGTTCAAAAGTGATTACCATTGAATGATTATGATAAAGTAGTTTCAGTTCAGTTTCTTGTGGCCACAGTCCAGGCTCTATATATTGACATCCCAAGAGACACTTCTCTTGGCTGTCACAGAAGAGGTGATCCTTGCATTTCAGTGTACATATGAGAAGTTTTCACATCTGTTTATGCTCTATGGTTAGAGAATATTTCAGTCTCAGTTGCCATCAGTACAATCCCTTTATTAAATGTGTATCTGTAGCTTTAAACTGTAAACTTACATGTTCAGTTTTGGGATCTTAGCATTTTACTTGATCAAAAACATGCATATAGATCTGCAAGTTAAATACTTAAATACTGTGCATGCAAATACACCTGAGTTTTTGCATATGTAAAACTGCAGGCTTCAAGAATAGATGTATGTTTTTAGAGTGGTTTGAGGTCTCTGAAAATTTGGTCCTAAATGTTAATTGTCACTTATTGCTTGAATTTTTTAAACAATCTATAAAAGGAAATAACCACATTACTTTGAGTGTCTATTTTATCTCACCCAGGTGAAAATAAAAGAAGCAACTGGACTGCCACTGAATTTGTCTAACTTTGTCTTCTGTCAATATGCATTCTGGGATCAGTGTGAGTCAACGGTAGCAGCACCAATGGTCAATCCAGATGTGCCATCACCTCAAAGCAAGGAACCTCAATTTAGAGTGATTTTCTGTCACTGCAAGGTAATGATTCTATTTTAAAACAGCATAGCAGGAGGGTAATATGTTTTGAGATGAACTTTTCAGAGCATGATCCTAAATAGCATGTAAACTTTTGTGGAGAAAATGCAACTAAGTGTCCTGTATCATAATCCCTAGGAAACTGCATTTTGGGGGTAGTTTGTTATAAATTATTGGTCTGCTTAAAACAGTTGCCTTTAAACGTCGAAGGAAACACCAACACTTCTGAGACTTCTGCTATTTATTAATTAAATGTTTTAATGATATCAATAACTTAAAGAGCATAATCATAAGATAATTTAGTGTGTGGTGAAAATGTTCATAATGTTAAAATGTTAGACACACCTGGATGGAATCCTGAGATTTGTCTCTAGTCTTCTCTGCCATCCTGGCCCTGCTTGTGAATGTAAGGCTTCTCATCCAACTTATGTTACCTCAGTCATGCAAGCAGAGACTACGTATGCTCTGCCCCAATTGCAGATGAAATGAGGAGATTTGACTTACTAATGTAATACAGTTCCTCTTTTCTGTTTCCAGGACTATGTGGTAAATGTCACAGAGGAATTTCTGGAGTTCATTTCAGAAGGAGCTCTTGCTATTGAGGTGTGGGGTCATAGGTGTACTGGCAATGGCAGCTCGATTTGGGAGGTTGATTCTCTTCATGCTAAAACTAGAACACTGAGAGACAGGTATGAATAAACTACAAGGAATACTTCCATCAGATTTCCAAAGAGATTAGGTCAAGATGCTTGTAGAATTAGAGCAACTTTGTACTCTTTCTGATCTGAGTTACGAAAGTTGTTTGTCTGGGTCTCTCTCTGTAGGTGGAGTGAAGTAACTCGCAGAATAGAAATGTGGATTTCCATACAAGAACTAAATGAGATGGGGGAATACACAGCAGTTGAACTCCATCAGGCAAAGGATGTAAACACTGGGGGGATTTTCCAACTTAGGCAGGTACTGAGTCCTATTCCTGTCTTCTTAGCCTGCTTAAGAGTATTCTTAAAATTTTGTTCTGAATTTCTCTCTGGTTCTTCTGGTCTCACTTGTTCAGGGTCATTCTCGAAGAATTCTGGTAACAGTGAAGCCTGTACAGCATTCAGGAACACTTCCCCTCATGGTGGAAGCCATTCTTTCTGTGTCTGTAGGCTGTGTGACTGCCAGGTCGACCAAACTACAAAGGGGCTTGGACAGCTACCAGGTAGGGCAACTGGTTAATGTGCTCAGTTAGTTATTATTTGTTTTGCTATCTGAGAACTTCCTTAAAATATTTCAAATTATAAAATCAAAAAGGAGGTCCAAGTATTTTAATATAATCACATCCATACATAATATTCTGTTACTTCTGCTGTCTTTAGCAGGTGCCAGGTATATATGTATGTGATATGTACTTATGGGCCCGAGTTTGTTCCTGTGGAAGTCAGTGGCAGAACACCTACTAATGTCATTGAGAACAGAAATACCCAGTTAAATGTAAATTTCATTTTACTATCAAGCCTCCTAACTTCCCCTTCCCTGTTTATTTGTTTATATAGTAGAAGTTCTCAGTCATAATGTTGTATCTGATGGCTTGTTGATATTTTGTACAATCCATTTACAGGGGTTTCTACCTCTGCCATAATAATATTGATCTGATTCCTTAATCCCTGCCTATTGCCTAGTGTTACCTGTTCTCTTTAGAAATTTGACAGCATCTTGACTGTTTAAAAGCTTGTGCGTTATATATAAGAAGCAAATTACATTTGAAAAAGAAATACTCTACACTAATAATACGTATCACAGGTGAGATATTAAGATCAAGTAATGAATTTAAGACTAGTACTTTTATTTAGTAACCAACCAATCAAACAAGGCTGATAAAATCCACTAAATATATGACTCTGGTGATTCAGTTTTGTAAATTCCTTGTCTTTGTACTTGTTTGTGTGTGATAAAACTGTTTAGGGTTTTATTAATATGTGTCTTTAGTGTGTTGTTTTGTCAAGAAAAATGCATGTTCTTTGTGTTTTACAAAATTTATTTTCTCCTACCAGAGAGATGATGTTGATGATGATGGTGATATGGATAGTTATCAGGTATTGCTGCTGCTGCTGCTGCTGCTGCTGTCTATCCTGTGGCATGGGGCACAGCTAATGCTAATAGCCAGCAACTTTAAAGTGGATAAGAGGATTGGAGCAAGCACAGGCAACTTTAAAAATAAATTATTTGCATTAAAAAGACTGCCTGGGCTATAAAACCATTTCCATTTCAGTATATATTATAATTATCTTTATAATCTTTATACTTCACTTCTTCTTTCTATAGTATTTCCAGTAATTGGATCTTCTAACTTTGTTACTTTAAAAAGATAAATAAAGCTTAGCAACTTTAATATTAGAATACAAGTATAGTGTCTAATATGCCTCATGATGTAAACATGCAATCTTCTTGAATATTTACTATCCAGAATTTATACCATAGGTTGTTCCTTTAAAAGCAAACTTCAATGACCGTAGAAAATATATTGCTGTTTTGAAATGTGAATAGAGAGGATGAGTTAGAGGGGAGTATATGCTGTGAAACTAAATATCTGAATGAGAAATGTTGGTTTTTTTAGGCTGTTGAAGTTTAGTTTTCACTTACCTAAAAAATTAAAATGTTAGTCTACGTTTTGTATTCAGAATAGGTTTAGTGATGTTAAAATTTGGAAAGCTAAACATATATATAATCAAAATAATAAGAACAAAGTGCTAAAAATGGAAAGTATATTCTTGGTATCTTACTAGTTGTAAAGACTTCTATTTGATTTTGACTGTTGGAAGAAGAAAAACCTGTTCAGGCATAGGTGATGACATTAGGAATGTCAACGTGTAGTCAACTACACGATTAATCGATAAGTCTTGTCTTATTGGTAAATCCTAAAGACTACAAGCACCTCTGCTTTCTTTTAAGCCAGTTTCTGTCACAGACCAGCTCCCACCTTGCTACCTCACACCTGTGCCTCATACAGAGGCAGTAGCATGGAGTGGCAGGGGGTTCCCCAGACGGGGGACTGGAGTGTGCTGGCCTTACCTCCAAGGACTATTGAATAATTGTGTAACTGCTCATATTTGATGTGGTTACACGATTATTCAATTACTCAGTAGGTGACATCCCTCAGCACAGCGTAGTATGTTCTGCAGGATTCTTCAAAATGTCAGTTTAGGTACTAACTACCTATGAGGCTGTTTGTGCGCTTCTCGACAACTTGAATCACAGAGAAGAATGGAACAAATTTTCCTGTGATGTCATAAAGCATGAATGCATGATAGACGTTGTTTGCATGGGGAATTTTTCATTGCACTGATAGCGGCTAATAATAGAATTTTATGCAGATTTAAGGCTATACTGACCTGTCAGCAATTCTCAGGAAAACACCTGGCCAATGAATAATACCTAATTTTCCCCTTCTCACTGCTATTAAAGAGTTTGGATGCCACTTGCCTGGTCTTAATACTTGTAAATTATAAATTTTGTACATGAATATCTTAGAAATGTTACTACCACAAAAATTATACAGCAGCTAGTGTAGTGTCAACTTCTCATGTTTTTCCTCTTGTAATTTAAAACTTGAAGTATAGTGACCTTTAATTCCTAGATGGTGTACTGCTTAATCAATGTGCATGATAAACATGAAAGCTTCCTGCATATTAATCATACAAAATTGTACAGCAGCATTTCTGTTCACAAATTATCACATAGAGTTACATGTCTTCTGTGAAGTTCAATATTGCCTGTTCAGGAAAATATTTTCTCTCCCACGTTTAGGAAGAAGATTTAAACTGTGTGCGAGAGAGGTGGTCTGATGCGCTAATAAAACGTAGGGAGTACTTAGATGAACAGATTAAAAAAATCAGCAATAAGCAAGGTTTGTATTACTGGAAGCTCAAATTCTCTTTGAGCTTTGTCCCCCTTTCAAAACAGACAGAGTTTCTCTTGAAGTGAAACTTAGAATTCTGTGCTTTTGAGGACAAATTTGTCTTCAGTATGTCTTGTGGACAGTGCTTAATATGTTTAGAAACTTAATAATAACTCTTTTTTTTTTTTAAGTCACATTAACTTGTAGAGGAACTTTACCAGAAAAAGTTGAAGTTTATACAGTAGTTCAGATTTTAGTATTACAAGTCTGCTTAGTGTGATTTATAACCTAGTGATAAACTATTAGTTTATTATAGGGAATTATGACTTACAAGTGCCATTTAAATATAATACATCCAATATATTGTGTCTCACTGTAGAGAAAACGGAGGATGAAATAGAACGTGAAGCACGGCTGCTAGAACAGTGGATGGGACTAACAGAAGAGAGGAATGCAGTGCTTGTCCCAGCATCAGACAGTGGCATCCCAGGTGCTCCTGCAAATTGGTATGTGTAAATAGAGTTCAGGGTGACAAAACCTCAACATTAGATTTTTTTTTTTTTTTTTTTTTTGTATGCATGCAGAGCAAATTAAGTGTTGAAATTTGAGGGTCTGATCCATCACACTTTTTATTGCAGTGTTACACTAGCGTTAATTTATGTAAGCTGGAAGAATAGTAGTGAATCAGTCTGAGTCTATAGTATCGTAACTATTCCTCAGTACAGGCAGTCCCCGACTTACGCGGATCCGACTTATGTCGGATCCGCACTTACGAACGGGGCTTTCTCGCCCCGGAGGTCGAGGTGGCGGATTGCTACCTGCGAGCTCCGGGGCGAGAGAGCCCCGTTCGTAAGCTACCAGCCCTGCTGGTCCACGGCGCTGCTTTGGTTGGGGGGAAGAGGAGAGGCAGGGAGAGGACAGCGCAAGAGAGGGAAGAGTAGAGCAGAGGTGAAGAGGAATGGTCCTGACCCTTCCCTGTGTTGGGGGAGGAGTTGCATGGCTGGTGGTCCCCCAGATGGCCTCTGACCATTCCCCTGTGGTAGAACCGCATGTGAGCACATGACCAGAGCTTCTCTGAGCTGCCATTTCCCCAGCCAGAGGGAGTAGGGGATGACATCAGAATGAAGAACCACTTCCTCTCCCCTGCTAGGCAGAGCCCGTGGGCCCGATGCAGCCTGTAACTTGCATTGATCCAGCCTGTTACGCTTGGGATTCCGGACTCCATAGCAGGACAAGCCAGCTCTGGCTTGCTCTGTTGTGGGAAGAGAGAGCCCAAGCCTCGTGGGCCGGATCAAGACATGCCGCATGCTGGGCCATAGGTCCCCATCCCTTTAACTAGATACAAATTTAATCACTAGCAGAACTTAAAATTATCGATAAGGTGAACTGATTTCGAAAGAACATGGTTTTCAAAGAAGAATAAATAAATTAAAACTAAATAAATATTTAGCTACCAGATTGCAGAAAATATCTCAAAAGTAAGTGACATGTTATTGCATATACAGGCAGTCCCCGACTTACGCGGATCCGACTTACGTCGGATCCGCACTTACGAACGGGGCTTTCTCGCTGCTCCGCCCGAGGCAGAGTTGCTCTGCCCCGGGCTTCCTGGAATCAGCTGCTGATCAGTTTCAGCAGCAGCTGACTTGGGGACGCCTGGGGTTCTTAAGTTGATTCTGTATGTAAGTCAGAACTGGCGGTCAGTTTCAGCAGCGGCTGAATCTGGACGCCAGTTCCGACTTACATACTTAAGAACAAACCTACAGTCCCTATCTTGTACGTAACCCCGGGGACTGCCTGTATATTTCCTAATTGTTGCTTTAAAGCAACAATTGAATATAAAAGGAGCTGCATCTGAACTTCCTCCTCCAAGAGCAAAGAGCTGTTTGGCAAAATTTAATTGAGCTAACTTACAGAATGCACAGTATAGTCAGAATCTAAAGTAAAAGTTGACTAGCTAACCCTATACATTACAATTTGAGCAGTCATGTTAAATGTAAGCACTTGTTTTCAGGTGATTATAATTCTGAAAATTACCCGTAGATTGAAATATTTCATTATATGTTTTGTTGACTCAAAAATAAATTATAGAAAACTTTATAAAATTCCATTTGGCCTTTTTAAAATGTTTGGACCTCTGTGAGTTAACTTATGCATTTATTTTATGATATTCACATCAGTTCTTTTTTCCAGGGCCCCACCCTCAGGAATGGAAACACACATACCGGTACTTTTCCTTGATTTGAATGGTAAGTTGTACCACCAGATTAGGAAGTTTCTTTTAATGCTGTTTTACTGAAATAACTGAATCAGTTGAATACGCTGCTAAATAAAGGGGTAGCTCTGGAAACAGGGAAAATAAAAACTTGTATTATGCCTCTGATTCTATTATGTTGGATAACTTTTAGAAGTAAAAATAATCCTTTATTCTGATTTTACAGAGTGGTGCAAGTAAGCACAGAATAATTTTACAATTCAGATCAAATAACAAGAGATTGTAAGAGGCCTGAAGCAAATTTTCCTAAAAGATACTTGAGGAAACAGTGCAATACGGTGCTCTCAAAAAAGCAGGGGTTAAATTTAAGATCGACAGCAGATGAGTAAATGTAGTGCAACTTTCAAAAGATGCTTCAGTTCTATGTGCAAAACAAATTTCTTTAAAGCACTAATAGAAAATTGTCCAAGTGCTATTGAGAAATTGTGGTAGTAGTAGTGTTCTTGCTCTCCTTCTGATTCAAAAGTAATGTTTATTTAAATTGCATATTGGTAGCATAATATAGAGTACTGGGGGTGATGCCCCTTGCTTGCTACGCTTGTCAACGCCCTGTCTGTGGGGGGGGGAGGGGGGGGGGGAGGCGGGCCCGGGC